TTTTTTTTTTTTTTTTTTTTTTTAGAGATGGTGGAAGGGAAAAGAGAGAAAGAGAAACACTGATGTGAGAGAGACACATCTGTTGGTTGCCTCCTGCATGCTCTAAGACCACGACCTGGGATCAAACCTGCAACCCTTTGGTGCGTGGACTGAGCAACACTGGCCAGGGCACAAATGGCAGTTTTTAATGGCTACACCATACATAAGTTTGTCATTCTTGATCCATTACCACTGCACAGCTATTTGTGTATTTATAAAAAAACCACGCACCAGCCTGGCCAGCATGGCTTAGCAATTGAGCATTAACCTATGATCCAGGAGATTGTGGTTTGATTCCCAGTCAGGGCATATGCCCTGGTTGCAGGCTGGATCCCCAGTGCGGGGTGTGCAGGAGGCAGCCGATCAATGACTGTCTCATAATTGATGTTTCTATCTCTTTCTCTCTCTCTCCCCCGTTCTCTGAAATTAGTAAAGATATATTTCAAAAACAAACAAAAACCACGCACTTTCAGAGGAAGATTTGCCTGCATGGAGAATTCTCAGGAGACCATTCTCAAGGAGTTTCTTCCATTTTGCCTGGTGGTGGTGGCATGTGGCCACCTGTAGGGACCTCTGTGAAGGGCATTCACATTCAGTGAGGCAGGCTTGCTGATTAGACAGATATGAGTTTTTTCCCCATACAGCTATGTCTCTNATCTCTTTCTCTCTCTCTCCCCCGTTCTCTGAAATTAGTAAAGATATATTTCAAAAACAAACAAAAACCACGCACTTTCAGAGGAAGATTTGCCTGCATGGAGAATTCTCAGGAGACCATTCTCAAGGAGTTTCTTCCATTTTGCCTGGTGGTGGTGGCATGTGGCCACCTGTAGGGACCTCTGTGAAGGGCATTCACATTCAGTGAGGCAGGCTTGCTGATTAGACAGATATGAGTTTTTTCCCCATACAGCTATGTCTCTTTGTAGCAAATATGCTAATCCTGCTTAAATGAGTCTTTCTGACTGGCCTGGTTTTTTTCACTCTCAGTTGTTGAAGACAATCAGTCTGGCCTTTTCCCCTGGTTGAATAGCCTTTCTCCTGGATTTGTTTCCCTAGACTCTGCCCTGGAGTAGCACGCTTCTATGCCTTTGCACGTGCTACTTCTCCTTACCTAGAACTCTTTTCTCCCCTTTGCCTGGCAAACCCTTACCTAGTGGCTTTCAACCAAGGGCAATGTGGCCTTCTGGGGAGATTTGCCAATGTCTGGAAATATTTTTGATTATGACATGACTTGAATGGGGGGGTGGGGAGTTCTCCCGGCATCCACGGGGTAGAGGTCAGGGATGCTGTTGAAGATCTACAGGACAGCCTCCCTCTCCAAAGAATCATCTGGTCCAAAATGTAAAAAGTGCCAAAGTTGAGAAACTTTGCCCTTAACAGTCCTTCAGAAGCTAGTTTGGAGGCAGTGCCTTTTTTAGGAAGCTTCCCAGGCCTCCTAAAGGAGGCCATTTTCCCACCTCTACAATCTCCGAGTGTGGTTCATACTTTCGCTATAGTGCTTACTACTTGGCGAGCTTCTTGAGAGCAGAGAGTAACTCTCATTTCTGGGTTCCCAGCTTAGCTCAGGGCTTGGGACAGTCTTTATCGGGCATCCCTGAACCCACAGAAGCCACCATGTCTTAGGGGTCACTGGAAAGGGAACACAGGAAGAAAAATGTGCCCTAGTTGGTGTGGCTCAGTTGGTTAGGCATCGTCCCTTGCAACTGAAAGGTTGCCGGTTCGATTCCCGGTTAGGGCACGTGACTGGGTTGTCGGCTCAGTCCCCAATGGGGGGCATGCAGGAGGCAGCCAATTGATGTTATGCTCTCACATCAATGTTTCTCTCTCTCTGTCTCTCTCCCTTCCTCTTTCTCTAAAAATCAGTAACTATTAAAAAAAAAGAATGCATTCATCTCCCAAGAATCCCAGGATTAATATCTTAACCAAAGTTTTGTTTTCTGTGATTAGGGCAATCAGCTTGGAAAGCTATAAAAGACTTGAGTGTGGCAGGATGAAGCTGAGATAAGGTTTTAGAGCAGGTTAGACTAATTGTCTTTCTCCCCTTTAGAGTCTCTTCTCCTTCAGGTCCATGGTACTAGCGGAGCCCGGCTGAATGCCAAGGATCCTCTGCCCCCCATCGCCTCCAGAGAGGAAGTTGAAGCTACTAAGGATCATGTTCTTGAGACCTTCTATCCCATATCTCCCACTATTGGTCTTCTGGAATGCAATGTTTATGACGAGAAGGACGACACGGGTAAGGGTCAACACCTTTGACTTTCAGGCAGTGTGGAGATGAGAAACGTGCTTTTTCCAAGGGGGAAGGGTCTACTGAGTACTTACATGTCCTAGGCACCTCACATGTATTTTCTTCTAAGATCCATGGAGCAGCCCTGTGAGACTGGTACTGTTATCCCCCTTTTAGAGGCAAAGTAACAGGCTTGGGGAGGTTAAATGATTTGCTGAAAGGCTGACTTTGCTTTTGACAACCTGAGAAGCAACTTTGTTACATCAGAGTTTTAATTGGCATCTTGAGGGGCTTTTGATCAAGGGCCAAATGTTTCCTGTATTCATAGCTCCTTTGAAAGACACCCCCTTTCTTTGTACCATGTAAACTCTGGCCGGCCTCCTGGTAGGACTGAGGAAGCTCCACAGGCCTTGAATGGTGCTGTTCATCCAAACTCCATCGAGTAAGGCACCACTGTCAACCTGGTCAGCTCATACAGAGACTAGGGGGTCAGGCTAAGAAGCCCACGACTCCCGCTGTCCCCTCATTCATGAGCGGTAGTGTGTTCTCCTTCACCTCTCTTCATTTCCACAACTGCAACCGATGCCAGTCCCTGTGTCTCTCACCCAGCCTACTGCCACAGTCTCCCAGCTGGTGTTGCCTAGGCTGTTTTCCCTGTAGTCCATCTAGTTCACAGTTTAGCCTTTCTAAAACAAATGTGATCCCATCTCTTTCCATGCCCACCTCCCTGCTGTCTGTTGGACAAAGTTTGGACGCCTTAGCTTATCACATGAAGGCCTTCAAGTCTGGCCTCCGTCCCTTTCTCCAGCCTCATCTTGGTCTGCTCCCCCAGGTGCCCCCTTTATTCCTGCTATACTTACACATCATGCCCTTTCATACTTTCACACTTTAGCATGTTCTCTTCCTTCTACCTGGAACTTTTGACCACTCACCTCATTGATAACTCCTCATCTTTCATAATTCATCTTAGGAATCACCTCTTCCCAGAAATGCTCTGGGACCTTCCAGTCTCATCAAGGACCTTTTATCGTCCCTCCCATGCCCGACTCATCTTGTATCTTGACATGTCCCTCTATGTGGACATGATCAGTTTTCCTGTCTGTCTTCCCCTCTAAACTGTGAGTTCCTCAAAGGCAATAGTAGGCTCTGCTTGGCCTATTCCTGGTACCTGCCTTAGAGCTTGGCACAGACTGAGTGCTGAGTGTTGGTGTTTACATGTGCTGAGGGATCAAAGCAAGGATCGAGGCAGATGGGAAAGCTATGTCTCTCGTAAGTAGTGCTCTTCTTTGGGATTTTCAGAGCCCACATTCCCAGCCTCTTTCTTCCTCTCTTTCACTCACTTTGACTAATCCAGGTTACTCATTCTAGAAGCCCCCACCTACCAAGGGTTTGCCCAGAGCCCTGCAGGGGAGGAGAATGATGACTGGCAGGGTCATGGTCGAAATGAGCACATGCTGAACTTGGATTCTCAGCACCAGTGTTGTGCACATAGTTGTGAGATATGAGGCAAGTTATTTGTTATTAATAATAAAGTATTGCATTTTGCAAATGATTTGCCCTTTTTTTTAAATTGATTTCCGAGAGAGGGGAAGGGAGATGGAGAGAGAGAAAAACATTGATGTGAGAGAGGAACATCAATTGGTTGCCTCCCGCCTGAACCCTAACTGGGGCCAGGGATCAAACCCACAACCTGGGCATGTGCCCTGACTGGAAATTGAACCCGTGACCCTTAGTGCATGGAATGACAGTCCAACCAACTGTGCCACGCCAGCCAGGGCCAAATGACTTGCTTTTTTAAAAAAATGATTACCATAGATTTCAAGTTAGTTATCCTTCTGCTAGTATCATTGTCATCCATCCGTGTGCTTGAATGAGAGAGAAAGGGGTGGAGTTAGATTCATGCAAGAATCACCTGTAATGGGTTGGCACACATTTTCTATAAAGAGCGAAATAGTAAATATTTTAGGTTTTGCATATGGTCTTTGTCACAGCTACTCAGTAGACATTATGTAAATAAGTGAGTGGGCAGGGTTGTGCTCTAATAAAAAACTTCATTTTCAAAAACAGGTTGGAGGCCAGATTTGGCAGGCAGGCAGAAGTTTGCTAGCCACTGGGCGAGAATGGTAGTATCTGTCTTTCCTGAGTGTCTGTAGTGCCTGTCACTGAACTGAGCTGAGGTGACTTTCCTGAGCTTGGGGCAGGCCAATTAATCTTTTCTGCCTCCATATGGTTGTTTATCTTGCAGGATTCCAGGAGGGTTATCCTTACCCCTATCCTCACACTCTCTATTTGCTGGAGGCAGCCAATTCCCGGCAAAACCGCTTCCAGCCAGATCAGCTGAGGGCCAAGATGATCCTGTTCGCCTTTGGCAATGCCCTGGTCCAGGCCCGGCTCCTCTATGGGGTATGTATGTGGGGAAGACCACCAAGCTGCTTTGCATGGTGATGGTCTCCTGCCTTACGCTGCTCAGAGAAAGAAAGGGCGCAGAGGAAGAAGCCTTGCTTTACTGAGGAATTTCAGGGAGAGGCACCTCCACTCACCCTCAGAGGTTAACTGACATCTGCGGGGTGCCCACTTGTGCCTGTCTTTTACATAGGGTGCTTCGTTTGTTGATCACAGTGGCCCATATTGTTCCATTGTGACCCCCAGTATTAAAACTGCGCCAGTGAATCACAGGGAGGCTAAGCCACTTCTCCAGCGTTACACAGCAGTGAGTGCTGGAGAAAGGATGGGAACCAGGTACACCCAGCTCTTATGGCTTCAGTTGTTTGTGTGTCTGCAGTATACGCCTCTGTTCTACCAGAACCTGAACCGGAGCTGCAGGCTCCATCAGGCAGGCAGAGGAAGTGAAGCAGGAGAGTGGCCCGGACCTGCCTACCAAGTCAAGACAGGTTCTGGAGACCCAAGATACCCCTTTGTGGTAGCCCTTGATTCTAAGAAGAGGGCTCAGGGACCTAGATGGTGTAGAAGGCAGGCTGAGTGGCTGTCAAACAGAACTGTTGCAAGATTAGGGGAAAGCATCTTCTGGGAGCAAGAGGTGGAGGAGTGTTTCTGGGAGCTGCTCTTAGCTCCCAGGTCTTGTTTAGATCCTAAGGCCCTCCTAGAGGAGTGAGTAAATTAAAAATGGTCTGTTGTACATCCCACTCCTCTAGAAACTAGGTGGGGTTTGGGAGGTGGTAGCATGGACTTTGCCTGGACTGAGCATCTACTACATGCCAGACATTTAATTGTGGTTCTTTATGCCAGTGGTTCTCAAAATGTGGTCCTGGATTAGCAGCATAAGCAGCATCTGAGAACTTGTTGGAAGTGCAGATTCTCAGACCCACCCAAGACCTGCTGCAGAGAAACTGGGGGGTGAGGCCTCCAGGTGATGCTGGTACAAGCTCACGACTGAAACCACTGCACTAAAATTTGAGAACCACTGCATTATTTAATCCTTGTAGCAACCCCCTGTGGCAGATAACCATTAGCTTAATTTTACAGATGAAGAAACTGAGGCTCAGGGAGGCTAAGTAACTGCCCATGGTGACACATCTTTATGACCTTCTTGTGTCTTTCCAGTCCTTGGAAGGTTATCTTTACTTCCATGCTTTGTATATTTCCTGAAGTCTCTGAAAGGTTAGGTAACTTGCCCAACAGCCCACAGCTAATGAGTGAGTCAGCAGGCACGGGAACCCTGATCCCTCCAGCTTCGAAGGACGTGTTTCCTCCCATCTCTGGGGCAGGGGATGGAGGCAGAGATCATCGCTTGCTGGGGTCCAGGTCTGCAGGCTCCTTGTAGCTTCTGAACCAGCTATTACCAGCAGAGCATGGGTAGCAATGCTGCCACTAATTGCCACCCAGTTGGGTAGAAAGGAGGCCCCTCCACCCCCTCCAGGTACAGATTATTCCTGGGGATGTGAAGTTGAGCAATTATGGCAAGAGCCTCTGTGTAAAAGGTAAAATTGCTGAGAAATTTATGTACTACCTGCAGCTTTATTGATCTGTAGAGGGAGATAAGAGTCAATACAGAATCCTCAGCTAACACTTAGAGGTACTTTTCTTTTTATTTATTTCTCATGCAGCTAAGAACAGGTATTTCTAAGGCCAGCAGTCCCAGTGTGGCCCACACTGAGGTCTGACATTAGCTATTCCTGACATTAGATTCAGCCCTGGAGAGGCGAACGTAGGCAGCATTTTCAAATCAAGGCTGCTGTGCTTCATGGGGCCTGCCTAGTGGATCTTTGTCCAGTGGGTAGCAGTCATGAAACTGGATTGCTGCAGAGTCTCAGTGGGTGAACATATGATTGTCACCCAAACTGGGACACTACTGAGGGTGAGAAGAGGTGCTGCTGTTGGACACAATGGGACACTGGGTGTAGACGAGAACAGTAGGGTGTTGAGTGATTTAATAGCATGAGGTCTGGCTTGCATCTCATGGGTGTTCTTGAGCAAATTATAATCTCTGAACCTCTGTTTCCTCATCTGTTAAGTGGGAATATGCCACTAGATTTATGAGATTAGAAGTGACTTTATGTAAAACTGGCACATGCCTGGCATGGGAGAGGCCTTCAGTAAATGGTTGCTGGTGTTATTATTACCAAGTGGCACTAATTGAAAGATAATTAGCCGATGGGTTGACTGGTGAAATGCTGAAACCGACATGTCAGAGTGGACACCAGGAGTCCAGCATGTTTTCAGAGCTGCACTGGGGCATGAAGACCTGGTAAGGTGACTGGCTGCGCTCCAGGATGCCGGCAGAGTAGAAATGAGCATGGCTCAGGGTTAGCCAGTTTAGGTTCTGATGCCACACATCTTTGTGACCAGACAGCCTCTTGAATCTCAGTTTCCTCGTCTGCCCAGTGGAATGAGAACTGAACGAGATTATATACATCCATTCACCCTCCAGGCCCACATTTGATAGAGCTGATGTGACTGGTATCGCCATCAGGTAACCCCAGAAATTTGAGGGATTTCCTGTCGTTAACCTCTCAGCTCACCTTCTTGTCCTCTGCTGCTTGCCCAGTAATCACCTCTCAGTGGCAAGAATTATTACTTTAATGTGTTCAGCTTGAAGCGCAGGCACCCTGGGGCCACGAGGCATCAGGCCAGGCAGAGCCAGGCTGGGCGAGGGCAGGAAGGCCTGGCCCTGGTCAGGGCCCTGAACTCATTCATTTTTCATTGTCTTGTGGTGAAACCAGTAAATGGGAGTGGACATTTGTTTTAAAGGCCAGAACTAGAAGCTGCCTGGCCTGTGCTATTCCTTACACTCCACAGTTTCCGATTTGGTTGCTTGTCCCCTTTTCCTCAGAATGATGCTAAGGTTTTGGAGCAGCCGATAGTGGTGCAGAGTGTGGGTACCGATGGACGTGTCTTCCAGTTCCTGGTGTTACAGCTGAACACCACAGATCTGGCCTCTGATGAGGGCGTCAAGAATCTGGTCTGGATGGACTCAGACCAGCTCCTCTATCAGCATTTTTGGTGTCTCCCAGTGATCAAAAAGAAGGTGGTGGTGGTAAGTCTAGCCATCTCCAGACTATGGTTGGAGCAGGGGCGTGACTTACCCTGCGTAGGGTGAGCAGGGATGGGGTTGAGGGGGTGATCGTGCATGGGACCCTGGCTTTAGGAGCTTGGTGCTCAGGACTTCTGACTGGAGGGCTCCTTCAGCCCTGTCCATCCCCTAAAACAAGACCTTCCACTCCGGGCCCTGCCCAGCTGTTCACTGAACTCCCTTCCCCCTTCCCTCAGCACCCACCATGCCCAGCTCCTCACACCTTCCCAGTGTGCCCTGTGCTTAAATAGCTCAGGATCCTGGTAGATGCTGCAAAGGAGGCTTCCCCCCCTCCCCCTAC